GGGCCCGGCCCGCGGCTGTCCCGGGGTGACCTGGCCCGGACTGCAGCGGGGCCCGCGTCCGATCGGCCCCGGGCCCGGCGATCTCCGTGAACGCTGCCCTTCTCTTTCCAGACCCCTTTGCTGATGCAAGTAAGGGTGATGACCTGCTTCCTGCCGGCACTGAGGATTATATCCATATAAGAATCCAACAGAGAAACGGCAGGAAGACCCTTACCACTGTCCAAGGGATCGCTGATGATTACGATAAAAAGAAACTGGTGAAGGCGTTTAAGAAGGTGGGTCCCGGGCGGAAGGGCGGGAAAGCCGGGTTGCTCTGGCCGAAGAGCGCGCGAGCCGGAAGCGACAGCCCCGGGCCGTCCCAGGCTGACTTGTTCTCGCTCTGCGCTCGCAGAAATTTGCCTGCAATGGTACTGTCATCGAGCATCCAGAATATGGAGAAGTGATCCAGCTCCAGGGTGACCAGCGCAAGAACATATGCCAGTTCCTGGTAGAGGTAAGCTGGGGGCCTGACCGTTCCGTTTCTGCTGCGTGTGTAGAAGTTCGCGCCTTGCAGCTGAGCCCAACAGCCCTTGAGTCTGTAGTTGGTGGACCAGCCACAGAAGGAGCCTGGCTGTGTGTTGTGGTTTGTTTCGCTCTTAGAAATATAAGCTGCCTGCCGGGGGTATAGCTCAGTGGCACAAGTGACTGCCTGGCAAGAGCAAGGTCCTGAGTTCAATTCCCAGTTCCTTCCTCAGAAAAAAATCTGGAAATCTGAGTTGGGTGTGGACCTGCTAAAACCCCTCAGCAGGGCTGGGGATGTGGCTCAGTGGTAGCGTTCTTGCCTCAGGCACAAGACGCTGGGTTTGATCCCCAGCACTTTCAAAAAACCCACAAAACCAGTCAGCTGCTGGGTTTCTGGATTTCAAAGAGGACAAAGAAAATCAGGGCTTTGCTCAGTACTAAAATGGTGCTGCAGCATTTGTCTTCGATGTGGAGATTTCGGGTTTCCTGTCCCCATCTTTGCCTGAGATCAGATTTAAGGGAGCCATAGGGTGGGGGCGGAGTACCAGGGCTGGGGTGGGAGGAGCCTGGCTTCTCTTCCTCTGCTAAAGCTTACCCTTTTCTCTTTGCAGATCGGACTGGCTAAGGACGATCAGCTGAAGGTTCATGGGTTTTAAGTGCTTGTGGCTCGTTGAAGCTTAAGTGAGGATTTCCTTGCCATGAGTAGAACGCCCCTTCAGTCCCTCCTCACAAGTTTAAAAACCTCACGGCTTGTATAATGTAACCATTGGGGTCCACTTTCGCTTGGACTAGTGTAACTCCTCCATGCAATAAACTGAGAAGAGCCATGCTGTCTAGTGTGGAAGTCCCTCATTTGAACAGAGCTCACGCGGTGGGCAGCGGGCAGTGTGCGGCTGGGACAGCAGTACCGGGATGTTTCAGCAGAGCCCCAAGACCTCGGGCAGCGATGTCTAGCCAGGAGCTCCCTCTGCACAGTCCCTGCCCCTAGAAGGTCCCCCGGGCGGCCCCAGTGACCCAGGAGAGAGGGGTGAGGTGGCTGCGCCTCCAGCAGGACCCTCTGGTGGCCGAGAGCCCCGGAGTCCAACCCAGCCAGGTGAGAGAGCTCGGTCGCCCTCCCTCCAGCGCGGTGGTAACATGACCCGCTGGCCACCAAGGTCTTCGGGGCCAGACATCCTAGCTGAGGGACGTCACATCCCAGCATGAGAGGCCAGCCCGGTGCAGTAAATTTCTGACAAGAGCACGGCCGGACGTGGCCAGTACAGCCATCTACAGAGCTTGCAACCCGCTTCTAGCAGTGGTGTGAAGTAACACTGGCTCTGGTTTCCTTTCTCCCAGTTCTGATGTTGTGTAATGTATTTAAGCCCTTATTTAAATAAAAGTTGTTTTCAGAAATGCCTGGCCTGCTGCTTGTACTTTCTGGGTGGTCCATCTCGGGTCTGAAGGAAGCAGAGGCGGGCAGCCCGGCTGTTTGTCTGACCCAGCTGCTTTGCTTGAGGGTCCTGAACTCCAGGAAGAAGGTGCGGAGCTGTACTAGGGTAGGGCGTGAGTTGGAGAATGCTACCTTCAAACAGAGATCCCTGATGACGGGCTTCTCCGACTTCTTCAGCTGGATGTGGTGACACAGGCCTATCGTCCCGACTCAAGGCTGAGGCAGGAGGATTGAAAGTGTCAGCTGGGGCATCGCCGGCCCCTGGCCCACGGAGGTCTGGGGAGATGGCTGAGTGTGAAGGCCGTGCGTGTAGGCTCTAGTACCACCAGGAAGGCTGTAGGGGGGTTGACAGAGGGTCTGCAATTCAGACGTGCCTTGATTTCACTTTGGAGACCAGGCTGGCCCAAAACTTGCAGTGATCCTCTTGCCTCAGCCTCCTAAATTCTGGGGTTACAGGTCTGCATCACCACACCTGGCAGAAAAGCCAAGTGTTGTCCCTGCATTCTGGGTAAAGTCTCAAGGAACTGCAAGAGTGGGCCTGGCGCCACCAGAGGAACCACAGCGAGGTGTGCCAGAGCGTCTGCTCTGTCAGTGGGAACCGGCGACAGTTCCCGTGCTGGGCGAGCGCTCGGCCCTCAGGCTCAGCATCTGTGAGCAGCAGGAAGTCAGCCCTGGGCCTGCCCTGCGTGGTCTCCAAGCTGAGGGACCCGGAGCACCAGCCTCCAGCCCGTGGTTAGAGGTGGGAGTCCCCAGGGCCAGAGGCAGTGCGGCCTCAAACCCAGCACGACCCTGGCCTGCTCTCCCCACAGACTGGAAGACTCCGGTTCCTGAGAGGTCTGAGCACCTGTGCAATGTGCCTCGTGCTGGGGAGAGGATCTGGGGACTGTGACACCCTCTGCCAGGCGCTGGGAAGGCTGTGGAGTGGGCACCATGTGAGGCCAGGAGGGGGGCTGGGCTTGGGCCCAGGGGGCAGGCCAGAGGCACCTTGGAGGGTTTGTGACAGGAAGTAGAGGAGAAGGGCCGGAGATGACAAGTGAGCTTGCAGTGTCCTTAGCTACAGGTTAAGATTTAGGCATGAAGAACTGGGCATGGTGGTAGCACTGGTCTAATCCCAGCACTTGGAAGGCTGAGGCAGGAGGATTGCTGCAAATTCAAGGTCAGCCTGGGCTACATAGTGAGTTCAAGGCCAGGCTGAACTATATAGGGAGACCCTGTCTCGCCAAAAAAAAAAAGATTTAGATGTGAATACTGAGACCCACAGGGGTGCGGGTGAGGGTGAAGATGACCACCTTCCGGCTCCCAGCGCCCCCCACACCTATCCTGTGCCACAGGAATGGCATGGACAGACATTTCTTCAAATGGTGATTAGGAAGATAAAAACTAACCAGCTAAAACCACAGGAATCTGCAAACACCACCGAAACCTATTCATGGCTGTCCATTCCTGTGAAAATCACACAGTTGATTCAGGGAGCACAGCAGGCTCTTGCTTAGTGCCTCACTGGTGCCCTCTTGTGGAATTAGTGTAGAAGCAGTTTCCTGTGCCATCAAGAGCACTTTTTTTTCTTTTTCATTTTTTGGTTTGCTGAGACAGTCTGCACTGAGTTAAACCTCCAGCCCTATTTTAAAATTTTGACACAGGGTATGTAGTCCATGTACTACATATGTACTTCAGGTTGGCCTTGAACTCACTAGGTAGCCCAGGCTGGCCTCGAACTTGCAGTGATTCTCCTTCCTCAGCCTCCCAAATGCATTCCTAGGGATCTTGAAAGGCCCGGGAGCTTAGCTCATGGGGCATTGCTGAAGAGTGCCCAGGTACAAAGACCTTTGAAAACATCTAAGAACAAAAAGAAAATGTCCTCTCCAAACATTGACTCCACAACACACGATCACAATGACTAAGTTCTTAACTCTACAAAATGTAACGTTGGAGCTGGGCCTGGTGGTGCACATCTGTCATCCCAGCAGTCTGGGAGGCTGAGGCAGGAGGATTGCAAGTTTGAGCCCAGCTTGGGCTACTCAAGGATTTAGCAAGACCCTGTGTTATGGTTGGTACATTGTGTCAACTTGGGGAATCTGGAGGTTTGGCTAAGTGACTCAGCAGCTCTGCATCCTGGGCTGAGAAGGACCTGCCCTTACCCTCCTGGGATGTTGTTCATTGTGTCAATTTGAGAAGTTTAGGTTAACTGTGTGACTCAGCAGGAAGCCAGGGTGCTTACTTTGTATCCATCCTGAGCCTGTGCAAGAGGAGGGTGTGGAGATTATGTGAGTGTTACACGCTCCCTGGGTGGGGGTCGCGGGCTTACAATGTAAGGGAGGGAGAGAGGCGTGCTAGCTCTGCCACGCCTGCCCTTTTGCCCTTGTTGCTTTGCTGTTCTGCCTCATGAACTGTTGCCCTCTGCCATGTGCCCCTCTGCCCGGAGCCAACCAAGTACGGGCTGAAACCTCCACAGACTGTGAGCTAAATAAACCTTTCCTTCCTTCCTTAATTTTAGGCAGCCGGTATTTTCTTTCAGCAAGAGAGAAAAGTACCCGAGACACTCTGTCTCCAAATTTTAAAATAGGGGTGGAGGTTGAACTCAGTGCAAAGGACCTGAGCTCAATCCCTAGTACAAAAAAGAAAAAAGAAGAAAAGAAAGAAAAGAATCATCAATAGCTAGCTGGATGTGGTGGCACACACCTGTCATTCCAGCACTTGGGAGGCTGAGGCAGGAGGGTTGCTGCGAGTCTGAGGCCAGCCTGGGCTACACAGTGAGTTCAAGGCCGGCCTGAACAACATAGTGAGACCCTGTCTCAAAAAACAAACCAAAAAAAAAAAAGCCTGCAGCCCAGAACCCTCATCACCGTCCTCGTTTCCAGCCCAGCGCTTTTCCAAGCTCAGAGACTAACAAAGGCTCCCGGGCACCGGCGTGCAGAACCTGTCTCTTCCGAGCCTCTCGCTTTGATTAATGAGGCTTCAAACTCCTTTGAAACACATCGCTCTCCTCCCGCCCACCCGCCCCGTCACCCAGCCCGCAGCCCGCACCGCCTGTCACAGTTTAAATCCTCTTCAATCGTCCTCCTTCCTGCTTGACCTACAGCCACCGCGCGGAGCTGGGTTAAAAACAGGAAGTGGTTGAAAAGTCAGTGCAGGTGGAGCAGACCCTGCCGTTACCGCGTGCGTCAAGACCTCGGTTCTCCCCCGGCGGCACGGGACGAGCGGGGACCGTGGAGGAGGCTGCGTGTGGAGACTGCGACCCCGCAGGGGCAGGGCCGCAGGGCTGGGGATCGCCGGGACCACTTCATCGACCCTCACTTAACAAAGTCGGGACGCTCCGCGTCCAGCACACGATTCGCGGCCGCCGTCCTCGGGGACAGCAGCCTGCACACATGCCTGCCGGTCCAGTGTCCCAGATGCCCCAGCCCAGGAGCCCAGGAGCTCAGGGCCAGCCTGGGCTACACAGAGAGACCCTGTCTCAAACCAACTAAGCAAATAAGTAAATAAGTAAAACTTGAATATCAAGAGGTCCTAGTGGAGTTTTGTTTAAAACAGGAAGTTTTATTTCATTTTATTGTTTGGAGAGAAGGTCCCGCTGTTGTTCAGGCTGGCTTTGAACTCACTATGTAGCCCAGCCTGTCCTCAAACTCCCAGTGATCCTCCTGCCTCAGCCTCCCGAGTGCTGGGATGACAGGCGTGCACCACCACACCCCACCTGGAATCCATAATTTTTTTTTTTTTTTTTTTGGTCTTCTTGAGACAGGGTCTCGCTATGCAGTTCAGACTGGCCTTGAGCTCACTTTGTAGCTCAGACTGGTCTCAGACTCGCAACGATCCTCCTGCCTCAGCCTCCCAAGTGCTGGGATGACCGGTGTGCACTACCATGCCCAGCTGGCATCCATAATTTTAAGTGAAATAATCAGACGCGTAAGTTAAGTATACGAGTTCTCTCACATGAGCAGCCCGAGGTATAAACAACTTAAAGAGCAAAACAGAGGACAGAACAGGGAGAACAGGGAGGCAGACTTTGGGGACGCGCTGGGACCTGGGAGGGGGACGGGAGAGGGAAGAGAAGCACCCGATGCCACACGTGTCCTCCAGTTCCCTGCCATGAATGTGTTTGTTATGCACTGCAGATATGAATACAAATTTTTAAAAGAAAAATAAAAAAATCCAGGGGCAGTGGCCCACCCCTGGGATTCCTGCATTTGGGAGGCTGAGGCAGGAGGATCACTGCAAATTCAAGTCCAGCCTGGGCTACATCCGTGGACGCCTGCCCCAGCTCCAGGCCCCTTTGCTGCTTAGGAGCCAGGGGCCCGCAATGGTGCATTCATTCAAGCGGTTTTTTCCTTCTTTTCTATTTTTTTTTTGAGGCAAGGTCTTGTTATATTGCCCAGGCTTGACTTGAATTTGCAGTGATCCTCCTGCCTCAGCCTCCCAAGTGCAGGGATCACAGGGGTGGGCCACTGTCCCTGGATTTTTTTATTTTTCCTTTTTTAAATTTTTATTCGTATCTCCCTGAGTGCTGGGATTACAGGCGCGCGCCACCACGCCCGGCTCCTTGGGCAATTTAAAACAGGGGCTGTATTTACTTATTTTTTGGCTTTACTGGGGACTGAACCCAGGGCCTTCACACTGAGCTCCATCCCAGCCCTTTCTCATTTTTGGTCTGAGACAGGGCCTTGCTAAGCTGCTAAACTGCTCAGCACGCGTGTTCAAGGACAAGGATTTTTCCCATCACCCTGTGAGACTGCGGCGGAGCTGGGATCCAAGCCTGGCCCCGCTGGCTCTGGGCCCTCTGCCCCCCAGCAGCTGACACCCAGGAGCCCGGGCCTCTGCAGGCTCCGTCGGGCCGCAGTGACCGCCCCCCACCACCGTGGCCTCCAGTAGACAGGAACAAGATCATCAGCCAGGCCACGGTCCCGGCCTCCAGCAGAAACCAAGCCTGGAGCTCTGTGACATCCTGGGTTCCTCCGAAGCTTGTTTGTTTGTTTGTTTGTTTGTTTTTCTCAGGTACCGGGAATCGAACTCATGACCTTGTGCTTGCCAGGCAGATGCTATGCCCCTGAGCTAAATCCCCAGCCCCCTTTCTTTTGTTTTTTTACTTGTTTGTTTCCTTTTGGGTTTTTTGAGACAGGGTCTCGCTACAGAGCCTGGACTGGCCTCTAACTTGCAGCAATCCTCCTGCCTCAGCCTCCTGAGTGCAAGGATTACAGGCATGTGCCACCATGCCCAGCTCCTCCCCCAAAGTCTGTAACCCCCGTTACCACAGCAACAGCAGCATCCCCAGCCCCCAGGGATGGGGGGCGCCCTGGGCCCACCCCTGCGATCCCTGCACTTGGGGACGGAGCTGCTCCCCACTTCCCTGAAACCCCCAGCCCTTCCCTCTCTGAGACTCTGCGGTTCCACCCATTGTCACGCTGCCTGCGCTGTTTCTGGAGATGCTCCTGCATCCCATCTGCTGAGTCACCGTCCTGCCCGGGACTCCATGGTACCCACTGGAGCAGTTGGCTGCCAGTTGCCATGGATACTGCAGCTTGCATCTGTATCGCCCATTCATCCGCCTCAAAGCTGGTGCAAGCCGGGCATGGTGGTGCACACCCGTAATCCCAGCGCTCGGGAGGCTGAGGCAGGAGGATCCTTGTGAGTTCGAGACCAGCCTGGGCTACAAAGTGAGCTCAAGGCCAGCCTGAATTGCATAGCGAGACCCTGTCTCAAAAAGACAGAAAAAAAGCTGGTGCAAGTGTGGGTACCACGGGCCATCCAGCAGCCGTGGGCACCGAAACCCCTGCAGAGAGGCGATGACGGAGCAGGAACCCGGGGACTTCCGGTCCTGAGGGAGGGGTGAAACAGCCTGGCACTCCCTGCCTCTGCCCCGAGCACAGCCAGGACTGCTGTGTGAGGAGGACGCAGGCGCCGTCCTCCTCTATTTATCCGTTTCCTTTGGGGCTGCTTTCAGACAAGGTGGGCCTCTCTGGACAGCCCGGGGTGGCCTCAAACCCTCAGCGTACCAGACTCTGGTGCCTCTTTGGCAAACGCTGTGGTCAGCTTGCTGGCCATGTTTGGGCTGTGTGTCCACAATGCTAAACTGTGGGTGCTCTGTGCAGTTTCCTGTCTCTCCTTAAAGCAAAGCTAAGCCGTCTGAAATGAGGGGTGGCCAGGCGTGGTGGCACAGGCCTGTAATCCCAGCGCTCAGGAGGCTGAGGCAGGAGGATCACTGGAAGTTTGAGGCCTGCCTGAGCTACACAGTGAGCTCAAGGCCAGCCGGAACTGCAGAGCGAGACCCTGCCTCAAAAATACAAAAAAGGAGAAAGGCGGGTGCTGCATTGGCTGGGGTAGGCGAGCAAGAAGGGGCCTTGGGGAGCCACAGGCGAAATCCAGCCCTGCAGAGAGGCTGGGAGGGAAGGCAGGAGCCCAGGGCTTCCCGCGGCCGGGCCCTGGAGAAGGTCAGGCGTCAGCCCACGGCCCATTGCCCCTGATAAGTGCGCACGGCGTGTTTGCAGAGTTGGGGATCAATGCAGCGCCCCAGGCCGCACCTGCTGCCCTCCGCGCGTTCTGGAGAGCTGGGGTCGCCGGGTCCATCTCCTCGCCTCCCCCACAGCCGGGCCGCAGCGCCAGGCCTCCGACCCCAGGACCTGTGTGGAGCCCCCGCCCTGCCACCCCCGCCCGGGACCGAGGCTCGTGACAGGTGGGGAGGGGACGGCTCCGCTGGTACCTGCGCCCACACCCCTCGCTGTCACCGCGGGAGGAGCTTTATAAGGCGCCAGGCCACGGGCAGAACAGAGCGACCTCCTCCCGGACAGCTCGAGCTGCCGCCCCGCTCTGCAGGTGAGAGACGCGGTGGGGACCTTGGCCCGGCCCGTCAGGGCCCCAGACACTGTCAGAGTCAGGCCCACAGCACCAAGCTGGGGCTGGTACCCTCCCGGCCCGAGGGGTGACAAGGACCCGCTCCAGCATCACCCTGGACCCCATCTCCAACGCTCTCCTAGACCAGCTTGGCCCAGAGGACTTTCCACAAGGATGGCACTGTGCCAGGTCTGAAAATGGCCCCCCATGATGGCCACAAGCCACGTGGGCACCTGAGGTAGAGTGAAGCCCAGGAGCTAGGTTATTATAACTCACTGAGACAAGGTCTCCCTAAGTCACTAAGCTGCCCAGGTTGGGGAGATCCTCCTGCCTCAGCCTCCCGGAGTGCTGGGATGACAGGCACACACCACTGCGCCCGGCCAACTGCTCTAGATCGTGAAGCAGTGGTGCTAAGGGGGAGGCCTCTGGGCCCGCGTGGGGACAGTCACCACGGAGCCCCTCTCCCCGCAGGCGCCATGCCCCGACTGTACGCCTGCACGCTGGCCGTGATGCTGGCCCTGGCTGCCCTGTCCGAGGCCTCCTGGAGACCGCGCTCCCAGCCACAGGATGGACCCTTGGACCTGGAGACTGGCAGGGGCCTGCCAGGCCTGGCATCTGCCCACCGGAGACAGCTGGAGCCCCAGGGCCCCCCACACCTCGGCACAGGTAGGAGCTGCTGACCGCACCCGTCGCTGGCCCTGGCCCTGTTCCCGGTGCCAGGTGCCCCCACAGCCCCGCTGTCTGTCGCCTCCCAGACCTATCCAAGAAGCAGGGGCCGTGGGCGGAGGAGGAGGCGGCGTACGGGTGGATGGACTTCGGCCGGCGCAGCGCGGAAGACCCGGACCAGCGCCCCTAGACCCAGCTTCGGGCCAGCCCGGCTCTGTTCCGAGAAAAACAAAGTCAAATAAACTCAGTCCCACCGTCACAGACTGTGTCACTGCCTGGGGGAAGGAGGGGGCAGGGCCGGGCCGGGGAGGTGTGGACGGGCTCAGCCCCCGAGTGCCCCTAGGCGGGGTCCCCAGCTGTCTGTAATCTTTGCTTTTTGGCGCACTGGGGAGTGAACCCAGGGCTTCGGACAGAGCTACACCCCCGGCACTTTTATTTTTTACTTTGATGAGGATCTCACTAAGTTGCCCAGGCTGGGCTCAAATTTACCATCCTCCCGCCTCAGCCTCCTGGAGTGCTGGGATGACACCACCACACCCCATTTAAGGTAAATTTTAGAAAAGATAAATCAAGCTGTGCTGTCCCTGGTTTTAACTTTCAAGCCCCCCCCCCCAGCATAAAAGGCAAAAGCAGAAGACCGGCCCTGCCACTGCCCTATCCGGGAGCCTTGGCCCTGCTGGCCCGGGGTCCTGGTGCCCAGAGCTGTGGTCCTTACTGCCCCGTGCTGGCCACTCCATCCCACAGGCCCCAGGTGGCTCCCCATGCCCAGGGTCTCAGTCGCCTCCTCCCCAGCCGGGGGACACAGGGCAGGGACCACACGGCCCTCCCTGCAGAATCCCCAGGGCCAAAGTGAGGACCCCAGGAAGGCAAACGGCTCATGAATCGCTGTGTGACACCGGGAGCACCCAGAGATGGGCAGTTCACACGGGTGGCCCAGAAAGCGGGTGTATACGGTGTGTGTGGGTGCACTTAGGAGGCTGAGGCAGGAGGATTGCCCCAAGTTCCAGGCCAGCCTGAACTGCACAGCAGAATACTGTCTTAAAAACAACCAACCAACCAAAGCGACCAAGCGCAAGGCCCCCAAGGGAAAGTGTGACTGGGAGCCCTGTCCCAAGGGGGCGCTGCAGTCACCTCCGCAGTTTTGAGGGCGGGGTAGAAGGCAAGCGTGGCCCCGGCCCACCAGCCAGCAAGGACCCATCCGGAGGAGCCTATGCAAATAATATGCAAAGCCCATGCAAATCAGCACCCTAGGAAGGCCCCGCCCCTCCTGGGCTGGAGCATGCGCAGACTCACAGGCCTCTGGGTGGCTCCGGCCGGGGCCAGCTGCAGTGAGCGCTTGAGTCACCCAGGGGCACAGAGCCGGCTGTGTCCGGACCAGCTCCTCCGGCCGCCTGGCCTCTGAGGGTGAGTCCGGGGGGAGAGGGCGCTGGCCACTGTCGCTGCCCATACACGTTTTCCTTTTCTTTCTTTGGTACCAGGAATCGAACTCAGGACCCTCTGCTTGCCAGGCAAGCGCTTAGGCCGCTGAGCTATATCCCAGGCGCACGTTTTCCTTCTCAATCCCCGACCCCTGAGCTCTGCAGGATTCCCGCCCTCGCCCAAGATGAACTCAGGGCCCCGGAAGTTAGCCACTGCCAGCCTTCTTTCCTTTCTCATTCTTTATTTGGAACCAGGGTTTTGTTAAATCACTGGGTTGCCCAGGCTGGGCTGGAATTTGAGACCCTCCTGCCTCAGCCTCCCTAGTAGCTGGGATCACATGTGTGCATGGCCACACCTGGCCGAACTTCTCTCTTAAATGTTTCTCCAGTGTTGCTGACCTGCCTCCCTCTGTGTCCCAGGCTGAGGCCGTGTTCCTGGAAGGGTCCTTCTCAGCTTGTGGTACACACCGCGCACACGCGCACCTTCACCCGGCCTGGGCTTGCGGGGGAGATCAGCTCGGACTCCAGCAAGTTCGGAGACACGGCAGGGAGCTGGTGTTGGGGGCTGAACCCTGAGTCCAACTCACCTCCTTGGCCTGCACCCCTCAAGCCCTCACCCACGCCCAGAGATTAATTAATCTGCCCTTTAACGAAAGGTCAGTCCTAGCCCAGCATGGTGGTGCACGCCTGTGACACTAGCAGTCAGAGGCTGAGGCAGGAGGGTTCCCAGGAGTTGGAGGCCTGCCTGGGCTACATAGTGGAACCCTGTCTCAAAAAATAAAAACTAAAAAAAGGCCTGGGGATGCAGCTTTGTGGTAAAGCATCCCTGGGCTCTGGCCCCCGCTACTCAGGAGGCTGAGGCAGGAGGATCACAAATCCCCAGCCAGCCTAGGCAACTTAGCAAAAACCCAGTCTCAAAATCAAGTAAGAAGGGCTGGGGTGCGGCTGGGGGTAGAGCCTGTCACGAGCCCCACGTCTGGAGTGATTCGGGCATGGAGGGGCCTCGCCTGCAATTTTTTGTGGGCCCCGGGCCTCAGGAGATGCCCCAGGGAGGCGGTGATGGAAAGAGGCGAGCAGGTGAGGCAGGGCCCTCCCGCCCGGCCACCAGGGGGCAGCGCCGCCGCAGAGGTGCGCGAGGGCGGAGACCCTCGGCTGCCCCACTCGAGGCGCGGGGCGCTCACCCAGGACTGCGCCCGGTCCAGGCCAGTCCCGCAGTCCGCAACCAGGGCAACCGCGCAGCGCAGCGGCAGGGAAGGGGCTCCGAGGACCCGGCCACTACCGTCCGCGGGAACCGCCCCCGCTCCCGCCTTTTTTGTCCTTCGGTTTCTTCTTTTTTATGGCAGAGGATTGGACTCCAGGCTTCTCACCGAACTGCATCCCAGCCCTTTTTAAAAATTTTTTCTTGGTCCAAGTTTGAGCTCATCGCGCTCAGGTCCTGGGGGAGTGGGTGCGTGGGCATCGAACACCTTTACCCCCCCCCAACCCCTTTTTAAGACAGGGCCTCACTATGTAGTGCAGGCTGGCCTGGGCCTCACGGGATCCTCCTGCCTCAGCCTCTGAGTGCTGGAGTGACAGGTGTGCGCTGCGCCGGGGGCCAGGCCCCCACTTCTCTGCCCTCCTCCCTGAACCCGCCTCACTCACCGACCCGACCCCGGGCCCCGGCGCTGTCCGGGCGCCCCCTGCTGTCCAGGCCGGGAAGCTCGAGGCCGGCGGGGACAGGGACGCCCTCTGCGCCGCCTGCCCCTGGCTCTGCGGGCCTTGAGCCCGCGCCGCAACACCCCGACTGCTCACTTTGGTTTTCTGGGCCCGAATTAGGCGCCCAATAGGTATTTGTGGAGTGAGAGCCAGGTGCGGTGGGTATGCCTGTCGCCCTAGCACTCAGGAGGCTGAGGCAAGAGGATCCTAAATTGGAGTCCAGCCTGGGCAACTTAACAAGGCCTCATCTCAGAATTAAATAGAAAAGCTGAGGTGCAGCTCAGGCTGCACCCTCGCGCTCCACCCCTGTCCCAGAGCCAACTCCCCAGGGTCCTGTAGCCCTGTCCAGACCCGCACCCTTCCAAGGACAGCGAGGCAGGCGCCAGGGTTCCTCTCCACGCTCCCACCACGTTGCCTCACTTCATCAGCGAGGAAGAAAAAGGACGAATTTCAACACATGTGCCTGGTGGTTCCCACCTGCAGTCTCAGCCGCTCGGGAGGCTGAGGCAGGAGGCCCTCTGGACCCCAGCAGTGGGAGCCTCCCGTGTTTCATCTGAGCCATTCAAAACATTCTGGGAGCTTTGAGATGCCGAGTTCAACAAATAAATAAATATGCACAAGCTTCAGCAAACCCAAAGCATAAACAAACAGCACAGTAAAGGATAGATACTAGGGGGGAGATAGGTGGGACTGGAACTCATGATCCTCCTGCTTCAGCCTCCTTAGGGCTGGGATCACAGGTGTGGGCTGCCCTCTGTCTTCTTTTGCCAGTCTTCTGTGGGTTGGTAAGTTCAGGGCCTTCCAGGCAGATGTCCTTTAAGTCATAACCAAACAAGCCCAGAGCTGCCCTGTCCCCAGGCCCCACCAGAAAAGCTTCCTCTGGGACACCTCCTCCAGGTGGCACCAGGATTGCTCCTTCTGCAGTTCACCTGCCCACTTCCTCTTCCTGTAGAAGCCAGACCCAGAAAGGGCCTGGGCCTGAGGGTGCAGGGCCACACAGGACTCTCAGGCGTCAGACGCTGTGCCCAACAGCCAGGGGACCCCACCGGGGTCCCTGTGCCTCAGGAGGAGCCCTGCCAGGGGCTGCGGGTGACAGGGACAGACGCCGCGTCCCCCGCTGTCACCCGAGCTCCTGAGCTGGGCCGCCAGCCCTGGGGAGAGTGGGGAGCAAAGCTGGGGGTGACAGTGCACAGCTGTCAGCCCAGCCACTTGGGAGGCTGAGGTAGGACAAGCTCAAGCCCAGCCAGGACAACTTATTGAGACCCCGTCTCAGAAGTTTAAGGAGGTGTGTGGGGGTGCAGATCAGGGCCAGGGGGCTCATCTAGCCCAGTGGGGTCCCCAGCCGTTCTCTCAAGGGTCAGGGTCACAGAGTGGGGACCTGCGCTTCAGGAGCCGCGCAGGACCTGGGCCCCTGGGCCCTGGGGCCCGGGAAGGGGTGCAGGCAGCAGGGCCTCTCAGGACCACAGCTCACGGTGACACACTGGGGCCGGGCCAGGGTGCAGTCACCAGGGACTCCCTGCCCAGCTGGGCTACCCAAGGCATTGACTGACCAGGCTCCCAGGGACTTGGGCTGGGTCTGCTCCCTGAGGGGCAGTGGACTCCCTGCCGGCACCCTCAGGGCCGGCCCCACGCAGGCGGGCGCTTGCTTAGCCTCAGGAGTAAGGAGCAGCCAGGTGAGGTGATGCTGCCCGTCATCCCAGCATCCTGGGAGGCTGAGGCAGGAGGATCGCTGCCCGTTCAAGGCCAGCCTGGGCTATATAGCAAGACTCCTATCTGTAGAATGGGCCAGCACCCTCATGGAGTGGCTTTTTCTGGGGTTCCCAGCCACTCAAGACGTAGAAAGATTCCGTTTTAGGGTTTGTTTGTTTTTTAGTGTCTCACCGTGTATCACAGCTTAGCCTGGAACTTGCAATGACCCTCCTGCCTCAGCCTCCCAGAGTGCTGGGATGACTCATGGACCACGGCCTCTCCCTGGGGCCGCCTGGTCCTCTCCTGCCAGCTGGGGAACACTGGGATCCTGCCCAGCAGGGTGCCACGCCCCCACCCTGCCCCGCAATGCCTATGTGACTCGAGTGTGATTTTTATTTCCTTTGCTTTGGTCGATACAAAAACCCCACAAAGAACCAAGGGCAGGAAGCGATGATAGCAACACCCTGCGAGGCCCGGCCCCCGCCACGGGCAGGGGGTGGGGTCCACCGCGGGGCACAGGAAGCCCCTCACCGCACACCAGAGGGGTCAGCAAGAGCACTTCTGGGCCTGCAGGCCGGGGACAGGCCGGGAGAGGGGCTCCCCGTGCCCCCCAGGCCCTGAGCTTCCAGCAGGGCTTCCGGTTCTGGGCCTTCGGGCCTGGGGTCTGAGCAGCGGGGAGGGGCAGTGAGGACCCAGCGCCTGGGAAGCAGCAGCGCCGGGACGCAGGGGTCTAAAGCTTCAGCGGCCGGGGCCGCCGGGGAGCCCCGGGACCTCGGTGCAGCGGGGATGCGCCCGCTCCGCTCAGGCACTTTTTGGCTCACCGGTGCCCCTCACCCAGGCCGCGGGCGCAGACACGGGCCGGGCCACCCCCACAAGCCGGGTGTCCCGCCCCAAGCACGGCCCCCGGGCAGGTGGCCGGCACCCCGCACCCCACAGGGGTTCCCCAGCACCCTAGAAAGCAGCCCGGGCAAAGCCAAGACGCGCGGAGGCGGGCAGCGGCCCTAGGCCAGCATGTGGTCCGAGGTGGGGTACGGGGGCCGCAGGCCGTCGCCGTAGGGCAGGTCCATGGGGTAGTCGCCGTCCACGTCCAGGTGGTCCAGGGCGTCCAGCGGGACGTCACCCGGGTACACGGGGCGGTAGGTAGCGTCCAGGTCTGCGGGCAGACGGGCACCAGAGCCTCAGCCTCCCACTCCAGGGCTGGAGCCGAGCCCCCGCCCGGGGCCCAGAATGGGTGCAAGGGGAGAGGAGACGGTGGCCCCAGGCTGCACACATGCATATGGGAGCACACACGCACACACGCGCACGCGAGCGCACACACGGCCCGACCGCACTCACCATCAGCGTAGGGCTCGTTGATGGGGATCATGCTCTGGGCCTGCAGGACAGAGGACACGGCAGGGGCTTAAAAATTGGGGAGGCCGGGCATGGTGATGCACACCTGCAACCCCCGCACTAGGGAGGCTGAGGCAGCAGGATCCTCTGCAGTTCAAGGCCAGCCTGGACCACACAGTGAGTCCGAGGCCAGCCTTAACTGCACAGGGAGAACTTACTCAGAAACAAAACAAAATGTGTGCACTCCCTCAAACCTATTACTATATATTCACTTGGGTGAAAGGAAGTCGCTACCTTTGTAGGTGAAAAACAGACCCACACACAGGCCAGCCTACTACTTCTACCTGAGGTAAACTGTCGCAGGAGACGACCCCACTCTGGAGAAGACCTGCGGCCCAAGCAGGGCTGGAGCCTCCCCCAACGCGGAGCGCCTGCTGGAGCAGTGCGCAACGGGCACAACCCTCGGCGGCGGACGCCCACCCGGCGCACTCACCGCCTCCCAGGCGGCCGGGTCGTGCTTGAACAGGGAGTTGGTCAGCTCCACCGACACGCGCTTGCGGTAGTCGGGGTTCTTGTCCTCAGAGATGCGGAAGAGGACGGCGGCGGCGTAGGTGGCTGCGCAGGGGAGCAAAGCCCGTCAGGCGCCGCCCGGGCTGGGACCCGGCGCCTCCCCCGCCCGCCCGGCGCGGCGCTCACCGGTGCCCTCGTTGCGCGAGTGCAGCAGCTCCATGAGCGGCGCGGAGGCGCCCTCCGCGTCGATGGCGTCCGCCGCCTCCTTGTCCTGGGCCAGCTCGCACAGCACGCCCGCCGCCACGCGCTGGATGTTCTCCACCGAGGAGTACAGCAGCTGCGGGGCAGCCAGGGCCTGGGTGAGGGCGGGGGCGCCCACCCTGCCCACGAGGGCGGTGCCAGGGAAGGGGGGGGGGCACGCCTGTCACCCCCCACTGGGGAGGCTGAGGCAGGAGGATGGCAGGTTTGAGCTCAGCATGGGCGACTTGGGGACTGACGGAGCTCGTGTCTCAACAATAAAAATAAAAATGGGCTGGTCAGCTTAGGGCACAGGTTCGGGGTTCAGTCACCAGTGCTCGGGGCAAGTGCGGAATGCCTTCCTCGGGAGAGGCAGAGGCTGTGAAGGCCCCTCGCCCGCAGGCCTCTGTCACACAGCAGACCTGGCAGCCGGGCAGGACGAGCCTGGCATGGGCCACACACAGCTCTCCTCCTTGCCGCTTTGGCGGTGGAAAACAGCTCTCCCCGAGGAGCATCTCCCTGCCTCAGCCTCCCTGGTGTCCCTGCTGCTTGCTTCTGGGCCACCTGAGAGGTGCTGGCTGCCCCTGCCCACGCCTCAGCCCTGCTCCATGTGAGGAGCTTTCTCTGATGGCACCGTGTGCCTGGCAGGTCCGGCTCGGGTACTTATTCCCCAGCCTCTGTATAGTATTTGCACCATTCCCAGCTTGTTTCTTTGTTATTTTGTTGGTTTTGGTCTCGCTGTGCAGGTTCAGGCTGGCCTTGAACTCACTACGTAGCCCAGCCTGGCCTCTAACTCCCAGCCATCCTCCTGCCTCAGCCTCCCGAGTGCTGGGATGACTGCGTGCACCACCACGCCCCACTGTAGTTCAGCTCTGACACGGGACTGGGATGTCTGCGGCTGAATCTCAGGGGTTTTCCTTCCCCCTCTGATGCGCTCCTGCACTGGGAAAGCTGCGCGCCCTCCCAGGTGGCCCCTCTGCTCCAAAGACCCCAGATGCCCGGGCCAGAGCTGCCATGCTGCCCAGCAGACCAGCTCGGCGTGCCCCGCCCCGCCCGGCGCCCGCACCTGCACGAAGAGTGGGATGGTGTTGAGGCGGAAGATCTCCATGCGGCTCATGGGGTCCCGGGCCAGGATGTGCAGGGCCCCGGTGCAGCCCTCCACGATCTCCTCCATCCGCACGCCGTCCTGCGCCGCGGGAGGGACACGAATGGGACCGCGTCAGCGGCGCCCGAGCTACCTCCTCCCCTCACCCTCAGGACCCCCGAGCCCCAGGCCTGTGGCGGGGCCCAGGCCTCACCGTGTAGGGCTGCTGCGTGCCCGCGGCCACGTGGCGCTGGGCGTCCTGGTGCGCCTTGACCAGCAGCTGCACCAGGCGCGGGATGACGGCCGCCTCCTGCAGTGGCGCGTGGTTGGCGGGGCACAACGCCAGGTTCCGGATCAGCCCGATGGTGGCCTGCAGGAAGTCCCTCTCTGTGACCCCTGCCATCCCCAGAGACAGGGCGGGGAGTGGCCACCTCCGCGCCCCTCGGCAGACAGGACCCGCGGCCCTGGACACCAGCACGTCACACACCGAGCGACTCAGGGCTGCGGAAGGTCCTGACAGCGCGGTCAGCTGCTGTTCCAAGCCCCGACGCCCGCCCATCTTTGCCCAAGGTGAGCCCAAGCCCTGCCAGGTGACGCCTGCATGGGACCTGCCCCCCACAGGGCAACTCGGGACACAGACCCTTCTCTTGTGACCCGGCTCATGGCACCTTGTCATCTTTGATGCGCTGGGCGAAAGGCCGGACGGGCCAGAATGAAAGTCAGCTGGGAGCCGAGCATGCCCGTGCACATCTATCACCCCGCCACTGAGAGGCTGAGGCAGGAGGATAGCAAGCTCAAGGCCAGCCTGGCCAATTTAGCAAGAATCCGTCTCAAGATAACATTTAAAGGGGGCCTTGGGGGCTGGGGATTTAACTCAGTGGCACAGCACCTGCCCGGCAAGTGCAAGGTAGTGAGTTCGATTCCCGGTACTGGAAAAGATAAATAAATAAATAAATAAATAAAGAGGGCCAAAGCTTAGCTCAGTGGTAAAGCACTTGCCTGGCATGCATGGGGCACTGGGTTCCAGCCCCGTAGTTAAAAAAAAAATCTGGAGACACCAGGGTGTCAACACAGAGCAGGTGACGTGTCCCCTAACTTGTCACTGTCACCTGGCTGGAAACGCTGTCCCTGCCCTGCCCTTGCAGCGGGGACTAAGCTCCTAGGCCAATCACATGCTGCTGTGTTTTCCCTCGACAGACTCTTTTGTCTTTAATTCTTTTTGTGCTACTGGGGGACACAGCCAGGGCCTCACACAGGCCAGGCAAGTGTCCACCCTAGCTACAGCCACAGGCCTTTAATTTTTTTGAGACAGGGTCTCGCAAAGTTGTCCATGAACTAGTGATCCTCCTGCCTCAGTCTCCAGTGTAGCTGGGCTAGAGAGATTACAGAAGTGCACTATTGTACTTGGCCAAATTTTCTTTTTTTTGTTTGTTTTTTCTTCCGGTACCAGGAATCGAGCTCACGACCTTGCACTTGCCAGGCAGGCGGCTTTGCCACTGAGCTAAATCCCCAGCCCCTCTTTTTAATGTGAGGTTTTTTGTTTCTTTTTGTTTTGTTTTTTGGTTTTTTGAGACAGGGTCTTGCTATGCAGTGCAGGCTGGCCTTGAACTCACTATGCAGCCCAAGGCGGCCTCAAACTCATGGCAATCCTCCCGCCTCAGCCTCCTGAGTGCTGGGATGACCGGTGTCCACCTGTTCTCATCTAACAGTCCCACTGCGGAAACTTCGGCCGGCAGAAGCGGCCCTGGGACCCCCACTCTCAGGATGTCTCCCAGGTGACCGGGCCACCTGGCCCTGGGCCCCCTTCCTGGCTCTCTCAGCAGGAGCCCCCTGCCCTCCGCCACACCAGGCCCCCACCTTGACCAGCGGCCACTGGCTGGGCTGGTTCAGCAGCTTCACGATGCCCGGGATGCCGTAGTTGAGGCGCACGGAGTTCTGCGCCATCTCGGCCTCGGGGTGGCGGCTGGTGAGGTGGCGCAGGGCACAGACGGCGGGCTCGGTGATGTCGTCCTTGTCGCCGGCCCGCAGGATGGCGTGGATGAGCGCCTCCACGCCGCTGTTCTGCGTCACCAGCGTCTTGTTCTTGCTGTTGTTGCAGGTCAGGTTGGACAGCGTGCCCGTGGCACAGGTGAGGACGTTCACGTCGTCCACGCTCAGCTGGTTCACCAGGGTCTTCAGCACACTCTCCAGGCCCTCCTGGGGACGGACGGACGGACGGATGGACGGCGGGGTGGGCGTGGGGGTGGGGCAGCCTGGCGCCTGTGCCCCGCCCCCCAGCACTGGGGACTGAACCCAGGCCTTCACGCTGAGCTACGCCCTCAGCCCTTTCCTTGTTTTTCATTCTGAGACACGGTCAAGTGGCCCAGGCTGAGCTCAGACTTGCAGTCCTGCCTCAGCCTCCCAGAGTGCTGGGATGACACAGCACCGTGCCCAACACACACCTAGGCCATCTCCAGGCACCTGGGAGAGGGCATCAGAAGCCCGGGGAGCAGGGCGGGACCGAGGTCAGAGGCCAGCCTTGCACACAGGCGAAGAGCGAGGCCCAGACCCCGGCCCAGGCCTGCTCGGAGCTCCAGCCTTTGCAGGTCCCCTCACCTCACCCGGCCCAGGCAGCACAGGAGGACACCGTGGGGGGTGTGCCTCAGGGGCCAGCTGACCACTGTCCACCCCCCCTTCCTGGGCCCCTGCTGCACCCCCAGCGCCCCCACGCCAGATCCACGTCCACAAATACCAAGGCGGGAGCCTCGCATCTACTGGCCTCGGGGACCACGGTGCGGGGCTGGAGCCCGGCTGGGCCAGGAGCACCGTCCACCCCGGGAGCCTCAGTCCCTCTGGCCCGGCCAGGGGTGCACGCTGTCCCCGAGGCTGCACAAGTGCGGGGCTCGGGCCTGGCGCCCGGCCGGCCCCTCCCCGTGCAGCCTGCGGCCCAAAGCCACCCTGGGGCTCAGAACCCAGCAAACCCAGCCGGAAGACGCGCAAACCACCCCTCCCGCCTCCCCGGCCCCAGGGACGGTCCCCGCGGGGCCACAGCCTGCGCCGGACGTGGGGCCCCGCTCACCTGCTTGGTGGCCACGTCCGAGAGGTTGCGCAGCGTCCACAGGCAGTTCTGCACCAGGCGCGGGCTGTTGCTGCTCAGGTGCTTGCCCAGCGCCTGCATCCCGCCTGGGTGGGGACACGGGGCTCAGCCTGGACCCTAGTGAGGGCCAGCCCAACCCTTCCCGCGCTGCAGGGCACCCGGCCCGCCGCCGTCCTCACCAGCCTCCACGATGGCCGGCTTGTTGCTGGGACACACGGACAGCACCTTCAGCACACGGCTAGTGGTCCACAGTAGCTTCTCGTAGCTATAGTTGCGCATGATCTGCACCAGCGCCTGGGGGCCTCCGTTGGCCAGGATGATCAGCTGCAGGGGGAGAAGGGAGGGCCAGCTAGCAGGACTCCACAAAAGCCAGCTTTTCTGTTGTTTCTCTTTTGGAACAAGAGCTCACTATGTAGCCCAGG